TACTGGGTTTAGTCACATTTTATTGCATATTTTATTGGCTATCATAGTTTTCATTTTGGGTTTTTTATTGTAAAACTAAAACCCAGGAGTTTGTTAATTTATTAATAAACTGAATCCCTTTTTGTTTTTGTTTTTTTGGTCATTTTTTCTCAGATGCAGTTTCTCTTCGTATTGTTCCAAACAAATCCCAGTTTTTTGAATATGAGTCAGCCAGCTTTTACTGTGGGGAGATCTCTCATGGACATGTGTTATATAAGATGAGAGAGGAAGTAAAGCAATGCAACAAAACCAGTAAGAAAACAACAGGTTCAGAGTGTATGATTAATCCTCTTTATGCAAGTGACAGTGGAGAATACTGGTGTGGGACAGCAGGAGGGAAGAGAAGCAACAATATCAACATCACTGTCACTGGTATGATTGAATGAAGGCAGCAATATTTTGTCACAAATAAACACAAGTTCAATATTTTATAAATTTAACTCACTTGTTGTTCAGCTGGTTCTGTTATCCTGGAAATTGCTGCTGTTCCTGTGATGGAGGGAGATGCTGTGACTCTACGCTGCAGAAACAAGATCCTTTCATCCAGCATCGCAGCTGATTTCTATAAATATGGGCGTCACATAGGGAGCAGCGCAAGAGGAAACTTGACCATCAACAGAGTTTCCAAGTCTGATGAAGGACTTTACAAGTGCAAGATCTCAGGAGGTGGAGAATCCCCAGAAAGCTGGCTGTCTGTCTCTGCACCATGTCTCACAGGTGAGAAACAGCAATTTTCCAAAAATATTTATACATATGTGTGAAACAAATATTTCAAGATGCTATTTTCTTCCTGAAAAAAACTTTAAGCACAGCTGTTGAGTCTGTTTTCCTTTGTTTCTGTTCTGTTGTTGTAACTGAGGTTTCCTTTAACCTCAGTTATTTAAGAAGGTTATTTGAATCTTCTAGAGAACTTGACTGCAAGATTTGTAACATTTTAAACAATGTGCAAGTGTGAAGAAGTTAATTACTATTTCACTGTACAGCTTCCACACCCTGGATAATTGCTACTATTTTACTGACCGCTCTGATTATTGTGGTGATGGGACTCTATCTCTTCCGCAAAGATTGGTACAGAGGTAAAAAAAAAAAAAAATCTAATAAATTTCTAATTTTTCTTGAGTTTCTTTAAGTTCTGTTGTTGCAGTAATTTTTCCTTTTTTCCCCTTTTTTTTTACTACTGGTCAATGGCATATGGTTCAGGCCCAACTGAAGATCAAACAGGACAGAACACAAACAGTAAGAAATCTACTATTAGGGGGCACTAGCCAGCCTTCATTTATTAGGATCACATAAAAAGTCTGTGAAGATTCTCAGTCATCCAGGTCATCGTAGTCTAAGAAGCTTGGAAAGAAAAGCTTTCCGTTTTCCAAGGTGTAAAAAAGGGTGTAGGTCACAATCAGCCAAAGTTTCAGGTGAGCTCATTGTGAAACATAGCCCCATCCTATCATGTGATTTCCTGAGGTCAGATGGCCCAGGATGTCTTTAAACACTATGCAAGTGTGAAGAAGTTAAAGAAGTTAAAGACAAAACTCCTAAACAGAAACTTAACAATGTGGTGTATGTTGTACAGTGCAGCGAGGAATGCCCAGACCTCTACATTGGAGAGACCAAACAGCCACTTCACAAGTGCATGGCACAACATAGAAGAGCCACCTCCTCAGGACAAGACTCAGCAGTCCATCTGCATCTTAAGGATAAAGGACACTCTTTCGAGGATGCCAATGTTCACATTTTGGACAGAGAGGACAGATGGTTTGAAAGAGGAGTGAAAGAAGCCATCTATGTCCACTGTGAGCGACCATCTTTGAACAGAGGTCTGCCATCTATAATCCAGTTTTGAGTTCCCTTCCCAGACGCCTTAACGCCCACTCACATCCTGGGCCATCTGACCTCAGGAAATCACATGATAGGGTGGGGCCAGGTTTCACAATGAGCTCACCCGAAACCCTGGCTGATTGTGAAGCTTCTTCAGATCATGACAGATTCAGATTGTGACCTACACCTATTTTCACACCTTGGCTCATGTGACTAGGTTGAGGATCATTATGGGGTCCTTTGGCCCTCTTGGGGGAAACTCCCACAGGGCTTAAATCTGGGACTCTCCACCATTTGACCCTAGAACTGAAGAAACTACTTCAAGCAACTTAAAGAAGTCCAGACGCTTTTCTTTCTAAGCCCCTTCGATCACATAAAAAGCTATTAAAACCCAACCTAAGTTTTGGGGGATTTTTAACCCTTTAAGAAATACTGTGGAATCTGATGTGACACGTTCTCATTATTAATGATCAGATAGGCATCACATTTTAACAAGGCATGTTTGAATGTTCACTTCCTGGACTTACACCTCAGATAAAGTATCTTATACTGTATGAAGGTCATGAGTTTGCTGATACAAGCGAGAATGGTTGTGCTTGTTTTATAACCTGAGGCATGCCTTCAGCCTCCATTAGAACTAATGTAAATTAGAAATATTTTTTTTGATTTTATACATACTTGAAAATTATTACTTAAAAAGCCCACAAGTTAAAAAACAAACAAAACAAAAACACAAAAACATGAACTTATTTCATTTCATTTTGCATAAATGGACTTAGGTTTTTATTTATTTACTTATTTTAATAACTGTGAAGGAGAAAT